GGGGGGGAGGGTAGAGGGTAAAGGGTAGAGGCGCTTCCGGGGTTTAGTGAGACCTTTTTTCGGGACTCGGTTCTACGGAAGCACGATCGCTTTCAAGACATGCTATGCTCGAGGCTTCAGGTCGAGGCAGGCAGGCAGGCAGGTCGAGGCTTGACAGAGCAGCCGCAGATGAGGGTGCTCTCCAGAACACCCTCTCAAGACTGTCAACCCCGCCTCGGCGTCAAGCATCTCAGTCACATTCAAACCCCTGATCGCCGTCTGGATCCAGCCCCAGAGAAAGAAGCAGGAAAAAGCGCTGATGACACTCTCAGGCTCAGAAGTGGGCAGGTACATGTCCACTCAGACGTCACCGCCCACACTCCCTCCCTACGGCCTACCACCTTCATGATGAGTACTGTAAGGCCTCTACACCTCCCCGGCACGACACAAGCACAGATGCGTCCTAACCCAGCCAGCTTCCTGCATTTCCCAACCACCACGGCTGGCAGGGTCTGGAGTAGCGGGGGCTAGTATGGCGGATAATACGGTCAGTGAGCCTGGAATCCGATGACAGATACGAAGGACTGGGGTCGGATGGTTTGGACGATGCGGTGAATGGGTAGGTGGATGGAGTTGTGGTGACTCTCGGAGGAGCGGTTCATTGTTCGACCTGAGTAACTTATGGGCAGCGGGCAGGGTACTTCGGCACTACTATCAACTGGCGCATCACTGGTAGAACTCTCCACCTCTTATCTTGGTGTAACAGATTGTCAGTGAGCAGTTTAGATGCGACTTTGCGTGGATGGATAATTACATGTATAACTACTAGTTACTACAGGTTAGGGGAGAAGCGGAGGTGTTGGACATATCTTGATGCGAGTCCCTCGCAAGCAAGCAAGCAAGCAAGCAAGCAAGCTATTCCGTAGCCGAGTTTGACCAGTCCGCTGTTCAGATCTCTACCCCCTCCCTTAATTACAGTATAACCAACTGCTCTCGGCGATAAGTATTAGGAGAATAAATAGATCCACCCTCGTATACAGAACCTCCAGTCAGGCCTAGACGGGATCCTCCAAGCTGTACCCGAGCTTAGTATGATCACCGCACCCGCAAGCAGCCCAAGGAGTCTCTTCCCCGTTTGCTGTCCCCACCCAGCCAAGCTCGTCTTCCAGGGGAGCACCACTCCCCCTCCCCCCCTCCTCTGTTCCATCTGTCCTATTGAGCGGTATACCCGCCATCGACAGCCAAGCAGTGACCGGTAACCCAACTGGCGCCGTCGCCGGCCAGGAAGACGGCCGCGCGGGCAATATCCTCCGGACGCCCCAGCTGGCCCCAGGGATGAATCGCGGCCAGCATCGCGGTGGTCTTGGCGCCCTCTTGGTCTCCGTCGCGCCTCTTCATGGGCTCCAGCATCGCAGTCTCGGCGAAGCCGGGGCTGATGCAGTTGACGTGGATGCGGTCTTTGGCGTATTCGAGCGCGATGCTTTTGGTCTGGAACATCCATCGCCTTGTCATCAGCTCCAATCCCCGCTTGACTCTTCGGGAAAAAGAAGGAAAAGGAATGGGAAAAGGGGGGATGAATGGTACCATCTGCAACACCGCTCCTTTGCTCCCGCTGTAACAGCTCGTGCCGGCCATGCCCACCAACCCGAGTACACTACACATGTTGATGATCCAGCCTCTGTCTCCCTCGCTTCCACCCAGCGGGTCCTGCGCCAACATCTGCGTGACGGCGGATTTACAGCCCAGCCAAACTCCCTTGGCGTTGACCTCGAACGTGCGATCGAACCACTCCTCTGGCTGCTCGTGAAGGCGTAGAATTCTATCCGGTTGCGCCTCCACGGCAATTCCTGCATTGCACACCATGATATCCAGCCGCCCAAAAACATCGACGCATTTTCGCACCGCCGCTTCGTTGTGCGCGGCACGGGTGGTGTCGCAGTGCACGTAGACTGCTCTCTCGCTGCCGTTTTGGCCGCCGTTGGATTCAAGAGGGTGGAGTTGGTTTACTAGGTCTACGGTCGGGGTTTGCAGGTCGGTTGCTGCGAGGGTTTTGGACAGGATGGGCGTGTTCGGTGGTGGGTTGGGGTTGATGTCGGCGCACACGATCTGGGCACCTTGTTCGGCGTAGGCGAGGGCGATGGCGCGGCCGAGACCGGAGGATGCGCCGGTGATGAGGGCGGTGCGGCCCTGGAGCGATTTGGAGGATTGGCTGGATACCATGGATGATGGGAGGCTGTCGGTGGCCATCACAGGGCTGGCTGGGTGAGTTATGTACGGAGTAAAGGAAATAGAAATAATAGTGGTCAAGAGACAAAGGAAAGGAGGTAGGCTCGCAGAAATGGGGTAGATATCGACAAGGAGGCCAGCAGAATGGAAATAAATGGCATCCGTTCCCCTGTTTGTGAGCGATGAACGTGGTTGAAGTGACTGATTGACCAACTGAAGGTGATAGCCAGTGGTCGATCCTTTGCGATCTCTTTGGTCGCAATGAGTAGATGCAGCATGACGCACTTGGCTGACTTGGTTGACTTGATGTCCAGTTGAAGCTGCGGGGAACGTTGGCTTACCCCAATAGGAAATAGATACATATCCACCCTGAAAGAAGACACCAGATCGGGCCCCTGAGATGCTGCCGTGATTATTGAGACTCTTGAAGAAATACATGCAGCCAGAGACTTCGAAGATTCCAAAGATCAATAAGACGCCAACGATGCAGCCTAGCCAACAAAGGCCTTCGGAGTTAAACAGCAAAATTCGACAAGGTGCCCCCAAGAGAGATGCAAAATGCTTGATATAGATCACCATAACACATATTCCCACATATGATCCGCAGATTCTTTTCATATCTGACCGAGACTGAATGCTCACCTTCTAGCCGATGTGCTGTATGCAGTGTTGCTTATGTACTCAGCGCCACCATTGTCGCTGACATCCTCCATCTCGTCAATCATGCGATCGATTTCATCAGATCTGCATGTTATACCAATGGTTCTCTGTGCTGTCCTGGTAGGGTCCATAAATGCGACACGTCTTTGGGGCGAGGCCAGGAGATCCGGGGTTGGGAATCCTGATCCAAATGGAGATGTTTGTGAAGATGTGGGAGGGGATGTACGGGTAGACGACATGATGCCTAGCGAGGTCGAGGGATGGTGTGAGGGATTACCGGGACTTGCCATGAAGAGAAGAGTCTCCACGGCATCGGCCTCCATTGCAGCATTCTGGCTTGCAGTGCGCTGCGCTATTCCGGTTGGTCTCAATGTTTTCACAGACCTATACCCATCGGGAGGCTGATTGGCGTGATATGGTCTTCGTCGAGCACCAGGAACGATATCGGCTGGCGGTGCCACTGACTGGCGATTCCTTGTGCTCCATTATCCCACTGAGAACTTCCGCCGGCTGTTACAATACTCTCGCAAGAGACACTGCTACTCCCCTGGCGGCGTAAAATAGGAGTAATCGCTGGCTGGGGGGACCTCACAGTTTGCGCAGAGCAAGCGGCTGTAGTTGTGGCTGAGGGAGTTCTGGGAGAAGCGTGCTGTGAGGTGTGGCCTTCAATCTCCTCTAAATTGTTAGCCTCCCAGCCATTCTTGACCTTTACCATCGCATAAGATAGGCGAGTCCGCAGTTCTCGTGATAGCTGCAAGAGAAGTCAGATTCAAATTGTCAAATTCAAGTTGTCAAAACGGGGCCTGGAAAACATACCTCTGTAACACTACTTCCATTCGAGGGCAAGCTCGGGGTTGGTGAATGTCTCGAGCTGCTGCCATGGTTGTTCCCGGCTCCATCACCACCTGCATTATTCGATATCTTGATTTGCCCGCTGCTCGTCCTCTTTGGTGCTGCGATTGACCCGAAGACATTTTCGGCACTATTTGGACTCTGCGTTGTCGATTTGGAGGTCGCTGCTGGGAGCGTATTCACGCCCGCGCCCTCTGAGGCGGGCAACGAGCAGTTCTGGCCAAGAAAATTGGGTGTTTCTTGACTTGAGAGGCCTGAAGATGAGGTTGGTGGAGTGACCTCCAAGTCACTCGCTTCTGTGTGATCATGAGGCGCCCCGTGGGATGAGGTTGGCGATGTCGACTTTTCGCGGTGTAGAGAATGTTCTAGTGGTGAGAATTTCTGAACTCGGGAATGGTTTCCGGAGTCTTGGGGATGCTGGGCATACGATTGAGTTGCCATAGTCACTCCCGAATGCAACGAGCCATGCTGCGTCATTTGACCGTGTACGAGGCCGCTCTGATGACAGACGCTGTAGACCACTCGAGGTTGTTGCGCAGGAAGTTGCCGATGTGGTGATTCACGTCTTTGATGCTAAGCAGCTCCGAGATTCGCTCAGTCGCGTCGTCATGGAACAATGGCGGAGCAGCAAACGCGTAGCTGAAAGGAAAGCTGAAGGACGTGAAGGTTACACAGGCAGGATCAGAAAGGTGACATGGTCGAGTCCCATATATATACACATACCACACATATCACAGCAGCTCAGAGTTAGCAAAGGTATTGAAGACTTCAATCCGCTGCAGGCTACCAGCTTAGCACGGGAGCACGAGACGCGTCAAGTGCACTGCCCAGGAGACAAGCCGCGATGCCGGAGATGCATGGTGACTCCGTGAGCGGCATTACGGTGCAGCACAAGCCTTCCACTGACATGATCCATATATCCCAACAGGTGATGGGCCGTCTATTGGAAGGAACGCGAGGAGAATCAAAACGATGGCCTCTCAATTCTGCGAAGGGTTTCATCCTTTACTGAGCTACTATAACAGGCTGCGGACAAGTCGTATCCAGCATGAGCAATCTTGAGAAGCTCTCCGCTTTGGTTCGACCTGCTCATCTTTCCGGGTGCAAATACTTTAACTAATGTTTCCCCAATCGTCGTCATCTGCCCCAGCGACGTCCAGGTCGTCATCCCGTGGCTGGTGTGCCTCCTCAGCGAAAGCTCGTGTATTGTCGCCAGCGTCGCCCAACACTACATCCTCCTGAGCGCTCGTTGCTTGCGCTGAACTTCCGTATGCAGTGTTAGCCACCCAAGACAGCTCCACCTTTCCGACTCCAGGAATATCGCTTTTCCCATGCATCACCTGCTCTGCTTGCCATCTCTCTGCGAAGACAACGATCCTCGAGTCCGTCCGTTGCGGATCCAGCTCGATATCTTCAAAAGGGCCCATCAACGTCAAGTAGGAGCGCAGATTTTCTTCCTTGACAGTATCGAAATCCACTCCGGACATGGCAATGCTTTTCGGTCGGTTGTCGAGTTTCTTGACCGATGGGTCGCGACCTCGAACAAAGCCATTACCCCTATAGTTGCCTCTTGGAGCCCCATAGCCACGGTATGCCGCTCTTGCTGCAAAACCGCCACGTATTGGGCCTCCATATCCCCCCCGTTTCGCCGTTGAAGGAGAGTAGGGTGCGGCATTAGAGGGTGCGTCGGGATCGATGCCGAGGCTTCGAGCTTCGTCCTGCATCCTAGCTAGCTGATCTCGCAGTGCTTTGATTTTAGGATCTGGAGAGTCCACAACCATACCATCCCACAGGGGTTTGCTTCGATTGGTGTTACTCTGCCCCGGTTCGTGGCCTTCGGCAATTGCAAGCTTTCTAAGTAGAGCCTCACGTTCCTTCGCCATGTCCTCCCGTCGCCGGATAAGGTCCTGCCTGGCGTCCTCCATGGCTTTCTTCGTCCTCATCCTCTCTTCGTATGCTCTTTGTTTCTGGTTCTGCAGCTCCTTGAAAGCTTCTTCGTCTACCGCCTCCGTTGTGATAGTTGGATCGGCGTTTTTAGCAGTGGTGACATCGTCAAGCATGACTTTTGTATTGTCCAGCTCGGGTCTGTACCAGTAGACCTTGACAAAACGATTGTCAAAGACAACCTTCGGGCTCTCCCAAGCCCGCTTTGCAGCCCCATGGGTCTCATATTTTACGATAGCGAGGCGCTTGTATGGCTTCATGCTCACCTCAAGCACTTTGCCATATTGCGAGAAGAAGTCTCGTACTGTTACATCTTCAAAATATTCTTCTGGAATCTGCTCAACTACAATGGTAGTGAAGGTTTTATCAGGAGGCAGTCGGAAATCTGAGAACGCAGCCCTGTTGTTTCGTTTTACGTCGAAGTGCTGAAGTCCTCCTAAGGTCTCTCGTGTTCTCTGCACGCGACTACTGGCTCTGGGAGTTCTGCTCTTTGTCCCGTTCATACTGAAATTTGCTCTGGTAGGATCATATTCGTCCTCTCTAGGCGCGATGATTGGATCGTTTCCGTGCTCGAAAGGACAAGAACTACCGAGGGTGCAGTAGCCTTTGGTGTCATAATCATGACAGCGTACCTTGTTGCCCAAAAACCCCTGCTCGCCATTGGGTGACGGTGGGAGCATGCCGGTCATCTGTGGGAACATAGTCTGCATAATTGCTAACGCTGCCATCGGGTTGTTTGCATCGAAAGCGGGGAAACCAGGTGGAGGTGTTGGCGGGGCCGGTGCGTGGAGGAGCGGAAAGGATGTACTCATGGCAGGCGAAGGATATTTTTGTGAGGACATAGTATGTCCTGACGCTCGTGTGTCTCGAGGAGCTCTCCTTGCGCGAGAGGCCTTAGTAGACACGCCATTGCCATTACCATAGTGTAAGTCTTGTCCATAGCTGTTCGCGTCATGGTAGGAGCGTTTTCTGCCCGTGTTGAACTTATCTGCCTGTTTCTGGTTGCCGAAGGAGCCCGACTCGTAGGATTGTATGGGGAACCCGCCAGCCAATTGCTTGTTAAAGCTGGTGACGGAAGATTTGGCGGAGGATACTGTCGGAGGTAGAGGTTTGGGCACATAACGGTCGAAGATTTCGTCTACGAACTTGACGGTATCTGCAGCGCAAAGTGTTACTCTGCGTGTTCCGCTGCCTCTCTTCCTCGTCACTTACGCTCTTTCAGAAAGTCCTCAAGGTTCTCGATCGCGCTCTTTCTGATTTCTTCATCGCTTGTGTCCGACTGTAGAATGGCCCATATGTAATCGCTGAGGATTTCAGGATCGGCGTCAGAGCTGTCAACAGGAGCAATCAGCCTTCATCTGTTTGAATAGGAAGAACGTCACCTGACTTACATGTCTTCAAGCCTCTTCACCATCCAAGCTTTGACTTCGCCCGCTTGTTCCGTGGACAAATGCATCATCACCCATTTCTCTGCGAAGCTGTTGCTGTCTACTTTAGAAGCAGTCGCATGCTGCTTACAAATGTTCGTCAGATATGTTGTCTCTCGTACTAGAGAATATAAAAGTAAGAATGGTTGATCGCCCACGTTTCAAATTTTTCTCTAACAGCTAGAAAATAAAGAAAACACTCAATAGACGATAGAAAGCTTCACCACACTATCTTCACCATACATATCAACAATCGGCCAGAAATCTTTGGCAACGAGGAAAACCTGGCAAACTCAGTGATATAAGATGCTTTTGCTAATCTACCCAAAGGCACTACAACATCTCAACTGTGTGATCATGAGCATGCACCACTGGCAGTCTCAAGCCCGGCCAAGCATTTCTCCTTCCTAATTGTTTTCTGGCCTAAAATGTGACTACTTGAGCTTCTCGACTTGAGGCAAGTCTACTCCGGAATGCCGAAGAGCCAGTGCCTCATACGAGCCGGAGGGATTCTGGCAGTATCATACTCATTCAAGATGATGTGAAAGGGGTTGGGGGACTACTTATAGGGTCTAGATAAGTACGAGGTGTGCTCTTCTCCTTTCGTGAAAATGCCAGATGATGGAGCAGTATGGTCGTATCAAAGCCAACAAGTTTAGAATGCCAAAGTTCCAAACAACACTCTATTCTCTACGTCTGAAATAACTAGCGTAGCAGAGAACAGAAGTTTTGTTGAAAACAAACGAGGAAAAAGTCATAAAAACTTAATGAGACTACTTGATCATGAAGAGTCTGTCTTTAAACCACTCCATCTAGATGCAGGCCTGACTTTTGGAGCGATGTTGATGCCTTTGTTAGCTCCGCCCGTCCTCTCGTGATGCTCGTGGATTGTGGTATCATCTATCGTCCGGACCGAGGCAACCTTCCTTGCAACCACATCCGCAAAGAACTACAACTTGTCATAGTACTGCAAAACTGTTAGTCATGTTTCGAGAAAACCGGGACACATAAAACCTACATTTTCGTATCCTGGAACAATCTCCTTAATACCCTTTCGCTTTCGCATCGTCTGCACAACTTGACCAGGCTTAGTGTTGACGTCAAGCGGCGAGCCACCAGGAAGGATTTGCCAGTGATCGAAGACTGATTGCGGAAATGCTTGACCACCGGTGTTTGATCGCAGATCAGCGGCGAAGCCAAAGGACTCGTTGACAGGCAAGTACGCCTTCACATTGAACAAAGGAGTTCCTGGGCGTTGTTCTTCAGAGAACACGTGACCTCTTCTCCGTGTGAGCACGCCATAAATACCTCCCATCGCCTGTTCGGGCACCTGGATTTCGACCAAGAAGACAGGCTCGAGGATACCAGGATCAGCAAGAAGAGTAGCAGCGTATAGAACACGGCGAGCTGTCGGGATGATTTGCCCGCCTCCACGATGGATTGCATCAGCGTGAAGGGTGACATCCATGATGTTGAAGCGAACGGATCGCATTGGTTCTTCGGCAATAGGCCCTTCTCTGGTAGCCCACTGGAAGCCTGAAACGACGGAGTCCTTGATTTCGTTAAGATATTGAACCGCCTTGGTCTGGTCGACGAGTAGATTGGCACCAGTGGTATCAGGACCGAAACACCAGATCTTCCGTGCGTCAGTCACGTCCCAGCCATGCTCATCAGCCAATATGCGGGCCCGGGCTTTGAAGTCGTCTCGAGGTCCGATCTTCCCACTCTCAATGTCTTTCGAAAGCTCCTCCTCCATTGGCTGAGCAGTCACGTATAGACGGTTGTGCTTGTTTGGGGACTTCGAGAGCGCAGTCATGCTGGACATAGCACCCACAGACTCACGGTATGAGACCACGGGATCTGAAACTCGAAGTGGGACACCAGCGTGGTCTTCCTCGAGATCTTTCAAGCAAATCTCAAGATGCAGCTCACCAGCGCCAGCCACGATGTGCTCTCCGGACTCATTGATGGATGTCAACACACATGGATCAGACTTGGAAAGACGCTTGAGACCTTCAACAAGTTTGGGCAGATCGTTGGCGTTTTTCACTTCGACAGAGCGCTGCACGACGGGGGAGACGGAGAATTTCATGACTTTCAAGTTGTGAGCAGTGTCGCTGGTGGTCAAGGTGCCGGATTTGAGCAGGAACTGATCGACTCCGACTAGACCCAGGATATTACCAGCCGGGACATCCTCGATCGGCTCGATGAATCGACCCATCATGAGAATTGTCCGCTGAATTGCCTTGATGAACAGATCCTCCTTCTTACCTGGCGTGTAGTTGGGACCTTGGATCCGGACCTTCAAGCCTGAGCGGACTGTACCAGAAAAGACGCGGCCAAAAGCGTAGAAGCGGCCCTTATCTGAAGTGGGGACCATCTTGGATACGTATAACATGAGCGGAGCCTTAGGGTCACAGTCTCGGATACCAATGCAAGCCTCGTCATCAGAGGGGCCTTCGTACAGGGTCTCCGCACGATATTTCTGGGCAGTAACAGGAGATGGTAGATGCAGAACCATCATCTCAAGGAGCGCATCAGCAGCAGGCAGAAACTTGCGCATGATGATCTTAAGCAGCGGCTTGCCCTCCAGCTCTTTCTCTTCACCAGTCAACTTAATGTTAAGCTTGCCCACAAGGGTGTTGATCTCTTCTTTCTTGGAACTCTTGACGGCGTTAAAGATCTTGAAGATTGGGTCAAGAATGAATTGGTTGAAGGCACGCTCTAGTTCCTTGCCCTCATGATTACCGGTCTTTGTCCACTTTTTGGTTGCCGGGTTGAAATAATTGTCACCCTGCAATTTCGTGTCAGCGTTAGGAAGGATGACTAGAGAAGCTCACGTACCCAGAGGCGCTCCATCATCTTGATCTTGTCCACACCGAACTTCTTGGCATATTTGACAGCAAACTGCCGAACAGTGAATGCCCAACCGTGAAGACCGGAACCAAAAGCAACGGTACCCTTGTATGGGTAGACTTGCACATCACCAAGAGCTTTGTCAAAGTAGGTGGCAATGATGACGTTAACTGATTCAATCGTTCGCGAGAATGACTGATACAAATCTTCCTTCTCGACCTGGAGCTCGAGGAGCGCACGATCGACCTTGTTGATGATCACGACTGGCTTGATACGTTCACCAAGAGCTTGACGGAGTACCGTTTCAGTTTGAACGCAGACACCTTCAACACAGTCTACCACAACAAGAGCACCATCCGTGACACGAAGAGCAGCTGTAACCTCAGAAGAGAAGTCGACGTGACCTGGGGAATCGATCAGGTTGATCAAAAACTCATTACCGTCCACCTTCTGTGGGATATCCTTCAAGTCTTCCTCATCGGGTAGATGAGCATACAGAGAGATGGCAGTCGATTTGATGGTAATACATCGGTCTTGCTCATCTTGGCGAGTATCGGTAAATCGAGCTTCACCAGCCTTGGAAGCAGAAATGATACCAGCACGTTGTACGAGGGAGTCGGTAAGAGTGGATTTGCCGTGATCAACTGTGAGAATTATTAGCACCCTGTTCGTTCAAGAGTGACAGAGATGATCACCCACCATGCGCAATGACGGACATATTTCTGATGTTTGCCGGACGGTCCATCAGTTGACGGATTTCGTCCACGGTAAAGTTGACCATGATGGCGGTGTTGTTTGGGGATGGGCTTCCGAGGCCGGCGGTAAGGATGAAAGTGAGTGGTTAAGAACAGGAGAAGCTGAGAGCTATCTCAATCAAACAGGAGTTTGCTGTCGTTCTATTTACGAAGTAGAAGTTGTGAGACTTGGAGCTGTCTCTCGCAGGGTGAAGATGAGGTAGAGGAAATCTTCAACGCAGCTTTCACTGACAAGGTCGTAGTGCGTAGTGCATAGTGCGGCTTTGAAATCGCGATTGTGGATTGTGGGACTACCCCGCGCTATTCAGAAGGCACGTGATTACCAAGCAATCCCATCCACCGGCCTTGGCAACGAATGCACCGAAATACCAGTACCAGAACTTAGGATTGTTCATGATTCAGTGGGTTAGTATTGAATGGTGAGTCACAGAGCACTCCTCTACTACGTAGTAAGCTGAATGTGAGGTATGCTAGCATCAATGTGAATAGAAGGTCTGTGTATCTGACTCATGGTTTTCTTTGAATCTTGCTTTAGCCACCAAAATATCTACCTCCGCCAGTGTGCCTCCTCACTGTTGCTGCACTACACAACAGCTTGTGAAAGCTTCTGACTCATTTAGAACAGTGATGGTAAATTGACGCTTTGTGACTCGACTCAAGCTACAGAAACAGAAAATCTGGACACAGGAGGTTTTAAGAAAGCTGGTTGCTGGGCCCTGTCCCCATCAATAATGCTGCCCCCCCCCCAAGGCAATGCTCTCACATGTAAAACTGAAAGCCACTTCTAACTTCAAAACACTTGCCTACAGAGACGTTTCCGCTATGATGATCCCAGTATCTTCGAATAAGCATCCTCCACTTCCTTTGCCACCCCTAATAAAGTGACGATGATGATTTGATGCGTCAGGTTCGGCAGCTTGTCCCTGTGCAGACCAATCCATTCCAGCGGCGGCGTGGCTTCACCCA